TATGCTAAGAAGGCGGGAGAAATACCATATAAAGTTATCAAGATGACTATGTAAAAAATGCAATTTGATGCTCATGTTGCAACCAACCATTTTGAAGCTCTCCAAAAGTTGCTGTACAATTTCGCTGTAATTCTGTGCTCGTGTACTTCCAAGAACGTCTTTGACAGTGTTTTTGAATGCCAACCAAGCATTCTTTTTAAGTTCTGTCATTTTTCCAATGAAATGTTTATTTTTAAGGAGCTGCCGAATCTGTGGACAATAAAACACACCTTTATCTTTCGAAACGACAGGCTAGGAAATGCCAAAATGAGATACTTGGAATATTCTTCTTCGATTGACAAAGCTTTAACAAATTGCTTCATGAGACCCAGTTTTATATGAGGTGGAAATATAATGTTCTTTCTGTCGACAAGTGGCTTATGTAGAATGTTTGGATCACCAGGTTTCAGGTCAGATCTTGGCGGTCAATTCGACGGCATCCAATGCTTCTCACGAGCTTTGCTGTCCCACATACACATAAAACAGGGATACTTGGTACATCCGCGTTGCTGGACAAGGAGAAAGCAGACCATTTTAAGGTCAGCAGAGATGATCAATTGGTGCATGTGATATTGCAAAAAATCAATGACTCTCTTTATGTCTTCATATTCCTCCCTCAAAGTGAATGACCTAATGGGACTGCTTGACAAAGAATGTTTTTGAAAGAAATCACATTACCTGCCGGAAATTTAATGTGGTGTTATTTTGTTAAAAGGCATTCATTCTATTACTATCAACCTAAGCTTGTTAACAGCCAATTCATAAGAATGTTACTTTTTAACTTTTTAATCTGATTGATTTAAATAAAAATGTATTTATTTTACAATACAGATAATGAAAAACATTTAATATTTTATAAAATAATGTTATATATTTTTTAAACTTACAAATAAAGATATATAACGTTCTCATATTAGTTCTCAATGTGTATTCATCTAGTTTCTTATAAAATGTTTCACTGTTCCACCTGAGCCATCAGTATGGTTAATATTTACTGACAAACCGTACTAAACTTTACAAGGACCTTTTAGGCGACCGTTAAAATTTTAACCCTTTCAGACTTTTTTATTTTTATTTATTTCTTGTATTGAACTAGTTATAATATTTTTTTCCTCAAAAAAATACAGAAGTGACCGGTGGTGCTTCATGAATGAACACATTGCCTCTTGCACTTCTTAGTTAGGGTTTAGCTTGCATAAATTCGGCCTAATATTTTTGGGGCTAAATCGTATATTGTTTATTAAGAAAGTTGTTGAAGATATTTATAAAGCCATTTAGAGAAAGAAATTGATTTTATAAATCTCATTTCCTTAAATTTTCTCTAATGTTGACTTGTAATCTTTGCTTACACGCGTGTTCTTTCTTCAGTGTTTTCACCTTTATTTCTAATAAGAAAAAGTTTAAACTTCAAGATGGGGAGATACAAAAAGTAAATTCATTCGCTGGCCTTGTTTTGGGATACCGACGTGTAGACGACACTCAGTTGCACCGAAAACCTACGATTTTTTCTGATGGTAAAAGTTCAGCTGAACAATCGTGATCATTATTCATGTAAAAGGAAACGACTGAGAAAAACTTTCCTGTTAAACAAAACACCTTCATTCTGAGTCACGAGAAAGGTTTGTTGGAGGAATAGATTTGGGGGATCGATGCTACAAAATTATACCCCAAAAGGAAGTTACTCATATGCGAGATATTCAATTTTGCACAAACATGTCTTGATGAATATTTTATTTACTCGAAACTGGGAACGAATCATAATAAAGTGCTGATTAGAATTTTAGTCATGTAGATACAACGAAGGATAAGTTATACGAATTTTATTTGCTTATTGAAATGCAATATGACAGAATTTTAATACAAATTAAAAAAAATTCACTATATTAAAAAAATGAACTGTTGTTGTGAAAATTATAATGAAATAACATAGAGAAAGATTTAACTATGTTATTTCATTATAATTTTAAGCCAATTTTCACATCTTATTGAATTTAATTTATCTCTATTGTTATGAAAAACCTGTTTGTATGTATATATTTATTTTCATCGCATTGTTGAAAAACGGCCGCAGAGCCACCAAATTTTGAACACCCATAGCCTTCCACCCGAACATATGCACCTTGAAGCTCGACCTTGTGTACCTCAAATTTTGTTTATTCCATTTTTTTGTGCTGGTTTAATGAACTTTTGTTAAGAAACTGTACTATATATACTGTAATATATATACTGTAATATATATTCTGTAACTGTAAATATATACTATACATAAATCAAATCCTGCATATGCTGCTGTTCATGACTGTTTTTCTGCTATTCCTATTAAAAGCAATTTTTCAACTTACTGTAACGTCTCCGATCTTCTCAACGTTAACCTATTTAATAGCGCTTTTCTTTTTTACAATCGTGGACAACATCGTACTCGGCATAAGGTATGCAATTGGCCCAAGTCTGGACAAACATGCCATTTTCATACTCTTCATCAATCTCTTTTTTCCATCTCCAGGGGGATTTTAACTATTTTCTTTGCTGAGAAACTCTACTTGTTAACTTACTAAAATTCATCGTTAATGTGTGTGTGTGTGTGTGTGTGTGTGTGATTATGGCAAAGCCTCGAGGGCTATCTGCCTAAGGGGAGGGATGCCTTCGTGGAGGACTTTCTAGGGGAAACTGGCTCGTACACGTTACACATGGGGAAAACCACGAAAACGCCCATGCAGCCAGCCCGTTCGCGGGATTCGAACCTCGGATCGAACTACCAGTGTTCAGCGACTTTACCGCTCGGCCGCTGGTGGGCTCATTGTTAATGAATTTGAAAAAAGAATACACGCGAAGAAACACAAAATCACTTGAAAGTCTAGATTTATAGCGCGGTATGTTTACTGAATAGTAGCAACAGGCGTATTGGGCAGTCTTCTTCTTTTTTTTTTTTTTTTTTTTTTTTTTTAACATTGCCTCGAATGAGGTAAACAAGTAAAGTGCGCGCAGTTATGACACATCGAACTCGAATCGTATTCCAAACAAATGGTCGTATACCAAACAAAAAATTTTACAGTCAAACAGGACGTCAAAGCAGGCGTATAGCGAAGTACTACGGTACATAAATTCAAATTCATAATTATTAAGCGTACTGTCAAAAAAATTTCGTTATTAGTCCAAAGGGACAATTTGCCCAGAAGGATTATTTTTTTGCTTTGGCATTTTGCGTCGATTCACGATAAGCGTTGTTTCACTTTTCAAATTGTTGCCACCAAATATTATCGCCCTGTGTTATAGTTAAAGAAATTAAAGGATGAAGAATCTGCATGAATGTATGTATGTTTCTCGTATTGTGATAAAACAACGGTACTTACAGCCATCAAAATTTGAATAACGTAATCTTCCATAGAATAGAATATGGGCACGTAGAAGCCCTAATTTGAATTTGAAATTGGTTTTATTATCGATTTCATATTTTGTAATACTTCAACGAATTTTTGATTAACAAACTAAACGATTTCAAAGCGAGCAATGGCACCACTGCACGCGGGAAAAAATTATCTCCAGCGCGCGAGACTTTGAATCGGAAATTCTAAAGATATGCTCATTTTAAAATTATTTTGCGATATTGCTGTTGAACTGAATTTTATGGTTTGAGTACGTAGAACATGGTTTATTTAATAAATAAAGGTAACACACAAAAATGTTAAAAAAACGCCCCTTTGGAAGTAATTTAAAATCTGAAACGTATCAGATATTTTTTTAAATTATGTTTTGCTTTATTATTAGTCCAAAGGGACTTGAGTCCCGAAGGACTATTACTTTCATTTTGGCATTTTGCGTCGGACGGATAAATGTCGGTTCACTTTTCAAACTGTTGCCACCAAATATTATCGCCATGTATTATATTTAATGAAAATGAATATTGAAGCATTTAGACGAATACATGCATTTTTCTAGCATTGTGAAGAAACAGCGATACCTAGAACCATCAAATTTTGAATAACGTAGTCCTTCACCCGAACATGAGCACCTGAAGACCAAATTTGAATTTCGAAAATTTCTTTTATTACCTCGATTTAAAATTTTGTAAACTTTTAACGAATTTTTGATTAACAAGCTCAACAGGATTTCAAACCGAGCAATGGCAACACTGTACGGAAAAACACATCTTTATCTCCAGCGCGCGAGACTGTCTATCCGAAATTCTAAAGATATGCTGCGTTTAAAACGATTTTGCGATATTGCTGTTGCACTGGATCTTATGGTTTAAGTGCGAGGAACATGATATTTAATAAAGAAAGGTAACACACAAAATGTTAAAAAACGCCCCTTTGGACGTAATTTAAATTCTGAAACATTTCAGATTTTGTTTTTTTATTATTTTTATTCCTTTTATTTTTCACGATCAGTTTAATGTAAACAAAACAAAATAAAAGTTCATATTAAGGTTAAAAAAAAGCTGTTACCTAACTTAACATAAACTTTATTTTACAGTTAGTATTTCAGTTTGCAAAGGTCAAAGTTTAATTTTTGTCATAATTATGCAATATAATTAGTTAAAAGGGAAGAAGGAAATAGAAAGTTCACAATTCGTTCTTAGAAGGAGGTAGCGCATTATTGTTAAGGAAATATCTTAAACCCAAGGTTGAAAACTGTTGCAAACTTAGCAGGCGGACCTCCGTCACGAACTCCCTGCGCAACCTGTGACCCAACTTTCTCGGACAGATTGTTGACCCTTACCAGAAAACTCTCACATGGTCCTTGATACCTTTTCGTATAATCTAATGATTTAGGGATTGATTCACTGCTTCTGCATCAAAACTCCTTTCCCCCCGCATTAATTTGAACGACCCACTTTCAGGGGCAGCTGTGAAGCAAAGAAGAAAGTAGATACGCTAACCGGAGTCGTGACCTCGGCATTGATGATTCTTCGGCTTTGGTGCCTTTTTGTTTTGTTTGTATGTGGTGTTGTGGCTTTGTTTTCTTTTCTATTTCAATGTTAGGATCCTCTCTGGCCTCGTTGTTATAAAAAGCTGTTGATCTTCCAACTGTCAGTCATTTGCTGTAACTTGTTCAGGAGAAAGATTCAGGATCTTCATCATGAACGTAAGTTGGCAAACTTAATGTTGTAAAAATCTGTGATTCTGTTTTAGTGGTAATAGAAGTTAAAAGGAATGGTTTATTAGTTTCCTTACTGTCTCTTTTTCAATATTTTTAAATCTAGGTTTACTTATTTTTAATTTTTCAAAAACTAGTAGAGAATAATTGCAACTGTTTTATGGTTTTATTAAATCTTTTTTAATTCTGTATGCAAGGCTTTCTTTGTGAAATTTAAGAACACCCTATGGAAATTCGTCCAAATGATGACCAAAAATAAACCAAAATAAAAAAAAAAAAAAAAAAAAAAAAAAAAAAAAAAAAAAAATAGGAAGAATTAAAATTAAATAAAATGCAACAATAAAAAAAGCAGAAAATCTGAAAGGAATCAAATTTTAACAACACACCAGAGGTTTTTTTTTAAGGTTCTTTATGCTCTCGCTGAGCGCGCAGTTCATCAGTCTGCTGTCGGGCTCACTCCTGCTAATACACTGTTTTTTCCTTTTAACTTGAGTATGAAGCATCGCTTTCTTCGCACTTACGCCACTTAAAATTCATCAATAAAATCGCAAAATTTTTAAAAGCAGTAAATTTTTAGAATTCTCGATACGATGATACGAAAAAAATAAAATAATAAATAAATATATATATATATATATATATATATATATATAAATAATTTATTTCCTAAACGTATTGATTAATTGATTATATTATCTCCTAAGTTTAATTAAAGTAGAATTATTTTAAAAGGTGCATCCATACTGGTAAGTTATATTTTGAAAGATGTTTTGAAGTAATTTGAAGCAAAATGTTAAAATGTTTTAACGGGGACTGGATAAAATCATCACGAGAATAAATTACAATTGTAAAATAAAAATTAAAAACATGTAGTATTATATATATATTATAGTATAAATGTTGTACCACCTCTTTTATTTTTTTCAGTCTCTTTTTTAGTTTATCATGTCAGTGTTAAATTTGCTTAAGCAGGTGACTTACAGTTTTTTTGTTCTTTTATATAACTTTTTTTTTTTTTTTTAACTTTATTTATCAAACATCACTTTCTTTGCACATACACCCCACAAATTTCGATAGCACAAAATTTTTAAAGCAAGCATATTTTTAGAATTCCGATAGAGTATTAAGGGTTACCATACATTTTTTTTAAAATTCGCTATATTATTTCTTTAAAAATAATACATGGCGATTACATTTGGCGGCAACATTTTTTTTTTGTTTCTTTTATTTGTGTTACCACCCATTTTTATTTATTTATTTATTTATTATTTTTTTTGTATTCAGTGTATTATAGTTTTCAAAATTTGTGCCCTTTCATCATAGCTAGATGATCATTCTTTTCCCATCCTTTCCATAACTCGGAAAATACATTTAGATTTGTTTAATTTAAATTATTTTCTGTATGTGTTTTATAAATTAAACGCAAAAAGTATAGAATATGTTGGTGAATGCCAAAATTCGAATAAAAGCAATTTCTTTTTATATTAAAAGACTAAAATTAAGTACAGGTAAATAAAAGCCTCACCAGATTCCCTTCCTAAAATTATTCAATCTGGTTGAGAATCCCTGTTTTATTGCCATCACTTTGCATTTCCATTGCAGTATATTTCTATGATTTTGCTACCGTTATACATTGTCATCCTTATGACTTCTGCATTATTAAATAATAAAGAATCTGTTCGTATATATGTATTGTACGTTGTATGTATGTATGTTCCTTACCCTGTGGCAAAAAGGCAGCACACACAGCCATCAACTATCGAACATACCCAGTTCTCCACTCGAAATATGCACCTCGAAGTCGGAATTTCGAATTGACTTTTTATTTATTTCATATTTAGTCAAATTTTGATTAACACATTTGACGATTTAAAAGCAGTGTGTTACTATTCGGTGACCCATAAGTTATATATGTTCCAAATTTAATCAGAAAACTCAACTTTTAAAAAAGACCATGTTACCACTTGGTAAAGCGTGAAACATTTGTCTTTCAAATTTAATAATAATAAAAAATAATAATAAATAAATTCAGCAATTTAAAAGAAATGTGTTGCCACTGTCCGTTGTCATATATTTTTACCTTCCATCCTCCAGTTTGCTGTCATTCGGCGAAGATATTTATTTATTTATTTATTTTCAAATTTAATCTATCTGTTAGAGAGCGGATGGAGGTTTGCCTAACTGGCGCAGGCAATTTGAATAGCAGCAAGACCTTTTCTAGGTCACTCGTCTTTCGATGTGGCGCGAAGGTGCTGGAACCCTTATGAAGTTCGACATCATGAAGAAAGCAGACGTCATCAAGGCTACGGCAAAAAACCATATGAAGATCTTAATTTTGGTGAACAGTCGGTGTGGGCATGTTCATAACCTTTAAAGGTGTGGTTAGGTATGGGCATTTTCATAACATTTTATGAAATTATTCGGGTGACATAAAAATATCTTGCTTTTATGCAATGAGTAAAGGCAGTTTACCTTTCAATTTGTTTAGAGTGCCATCAGAGCTTAAACTGCGCCATAAGAGGCCTCTGACCCTTCTTTTATGTAACTGAACCGCAGTTTCAGCAGAAAATTTGTTTGATCTCGAAAATTTTATTTTAATAATAAAATTAAAAATTTATTCTAACTTCTGAATGCATATCTCTTTTTCTTTGGGGAACAAGCCTTTGGACGGAAATTGAGACTTTTAAGGAACGGAAAACCACTACCCACATCTGAAAGGCTTAAAGGCTTATTATCGAGGAAGTGTTGTGGATTTATGACAACGGGTAAATTTTTGTTTCCAATGTTATTGTCTTCCCGCAAAAAAGAGCACCTGTAGAAGAATTTTTGGAAAGATGTAACAAATACGGAGGACGAAAATTGTTACTTTGTTCTTAGCTAACCTTCGGATTCCGAGAAAATATTTCTCGCTATCACAATCTGTTTGACAACTTGAGTTACACTGACAGGGGGTCGTGCTCAAAAAGTGTTGGACTCTTCTCCCTCTATTTTCATACATACATATCCTCCGTTAAAATTTCATTCATTCCTCTATTCTCAATAGCATTCTCTCTATTCTCAATAGTGACGTTTTAATTTTTTTATTAGTGTGCTGAAGATAGTAGTTTTTGTTTCTATCATCCCCTGACGTATGCATTATACTGTATATTCAGTGCTTAAAATTCAGCCGTAGCCTGTTTCACCTGTATCGTAATTTTTTAATGACACTGTGTGTGTTTTTCCTGTGTTTGTTCCCGTCTAACAAACTAAACGATATAAAAATATTAATGCAATTCTTTATTTCTGTTATTAATTCTTTTAATTTCTGTTATTAATTGTTGTTCCTGCGTATGTTACTGATTAGCAAACTAAGTGATGTAAAAGCATTAATGCAATTCTTTATTTCTGCTAATAATTCCTTATTTCTGTTCTTTAATCACTAGCTAAGATCTACGAAATCAGTCTCATTATACTCATTAAAAACATTTTTTATTTCTTTTTATTATTTACTATTTTAGGTAACCAGCGGTTAGTTATTTAATAATGAAGAGCCTGTACCTGTATCACTCCCACTATGGAAAAACGAAGACTTCCTACCAAATATCGAACACGCATAGTCTTTCACCCGAACATGTGTACCTCGAAATCCGAACTTTGAATTTCGAACTTATTTATTTAGCTCTAGTGTAGAATTGGGTGCCCTTTCGATTAGTGACAAATTTTGTATAGTTTTGGCGATGAAACCCCATTTCTGGTTACCATGATAGTTTTAAACTTATTAAATTGTTTTAGCTTCTCGATTTTTTAAAGCGAAAATAGATCGATGTGTACATGGACACCGAGTTTGTGCAATTCTTTGACTTCATATTTTGGTTTTGTGTAGCGCCCATCTTGAAACTGTGCCTTCCTGGCCCCGATCTTGGCTTCAAAAAAGAATCGCCGAAAAAACAAGGGGCACCCAATTGTAAACTTTTACCATTTATTTATATTAATATTTTATGCGAGCTTAAATGGAATTTTATAGATCAGTTTAACTATTTAGAAGCAATGCGTTGCCTGCGAAGTGTAAGATATTTATTTTTCGAGTTCAATCAGTTATTTTCCTCTCATCTGAAAGATTAGTTAAAGTTGCGCCAAGAAGTCTTACTGTAGATTGACCATTTATGAAATTACTGAGGAAATTAGAACTCTTAACTTTAAAGTTAAAAATGTTGCTATAATACACCATCTTAAAACCAAGGTCCCCGTGCTCCTTGATCAAATACAACTGGCTAACGAGAAAGGAGTAGAAAACATTTATGCTATTTCTACATTCATGAACTTTAATACCTCTCTTACCCCGCCAGATAAAGAGAAATATCATTCAGTGTCATAACTGTCAATTATTTAGTTATTTAATTTAATTAAACTTTGATAACGTCTGAAGAGCACAAATTGAAACCTATGTGCCTGAAGAGTGCCGGACCACATAAAAGCTCTGAATGTTATGCCAAAAAGCTCAATTGAAAATGTGAATTGTTGCAAGTGTCTGCAAATTACACATACTGCAAACATTAGACGTTGTTCGAAATTCTCCTCAGCAAAAATCTTTCGGAAAGTGTAATCCTAGTAATAAATTTAAACAGCATATCCACCGTTGTTAATAAAGATATTTTGGATGCCATAGTTTCCCTACAACCCAGAGCAGGCTGTATTCCCACGTGATTCAAAATAAAACTTCTCAAAATAATTGTGGAAGCATTGCCCACGATATTAATGCTATAAGTTTCCTTTCTGAGATGTTTAAGGTAATCGCGAAAATTAGTGGAATATTTTAAAGGTTTCCAACTGCCACACATAACCAAGAAAATGTCCACTAGAATGCCGGAGATCCACGCAGCCGAAATCTCTAATCATTCTTTATTCAGTTTTTGAGAACACCTTTGAGTGTAACAATAATTAATCATTTTTGTGTAAATTCGTAGCTTATTACTATAAATATTTTGCTTTTCATGTAACTAAATCTCACT